CAATCATTTTCAGTTAGCGCATTCCAACGAATGTGTTGAGCTTACTTTTGAAGCCGAAGAGACGTATGCAGATGCCGAGGGGGCCACTACATCGATTAAGGATGTACACAGGATTACGTGATTACAGGGATTACACGTGAATTTGGAGTGATTACACGTGAATTTGGAGTGATTACACGTGAATTTGGTTGAATTTCAGGCTTTAAAACCATCAAATTTGGACAAAAAAGTAAAATTTAGTGATAATGTTTTAAAATTTGGCCAAGGATTACACGGAATAGATAAGGATTACGTAGGGAGTACACCCTCATCTGTACACAGGATTACGCGAGTGGTGGCCCCCTCGGCAGATGCAATCTCATACATGAGAAGAGCTCTTGACTTTGATGAAAGGGTGGTCAGCGTCATATACCAAAACCGTGGCTGATTATTGTCAGCACAATCATGCATCTCATACGTAGAGCGGCCTTCATAAAACGTTATATAATGGGCCATCCATATTACGTGACCGATTTAGATGGGTGGGTGGGTTTGGTCTCGCACTACGGCCAGTCACGTGGGTGGGTATGGGGTGGGTATGGCGCAGGTCACGTAGTATTTTTTAGACGACCTGATTAGCACCGAAACAAACGCCCGCGTCGTCTGCTCTCTGGAGCTGCGACTGCGGCTGCGTGGCGCGCTCGCGTGCCTCGGCCGGCTGCCGGCTTGGCCTGCATTTAAGCTTGCCTAATATTATGCGAACGAGTCGTGCACATTACTGTCTTAAAAATATGCGCACGAAGACCTTCGTGTGCATTGCTCCCGAAGACTTACGCTCACGAAGACCTTCGTGCTCATTATATCGTAATAGTTACGCGCACGAGCCAAACAAGAAATAGTACTATCTCTTGGCTTGAGTAAGACGACCGCGAGCTCCAATGATCGTGCACATAAAATTTATAATGGTGCGCGCACGAGCCGGGCACGCATCACCCAAAATGTTATGTGCACGACTCGTGCGCGCACCACCAGGAGCGTTATGCGCACGAAGGTAAAGTAGATTTAAAAAGCTAAATGTTTTATAAAATCCTGAACATTTTTGAAGTGAACAGATGTTGCTCTCTCTTATACACTCCCTCACACACCAGTGCATCTCGCTTATCGAGGGGGCTGGGAATTGTCGGAAATCTATTCTTCCCGAAGCTCGTGTAATAAGCACCATGGCCATGAAAAGCCCACATTATTCAATGTGGTCTAAAAAGGCTTCACGTGCGCATACCGGGCCTCAAATTAGAAATCGTTTTGTGAATGTTGTTCTTACATGTTCTTACAATGTTGGAGTAGTCCGACCCGCACCACGCTCGCCGCGCCCCGCTCGCCGCGCCACGCCATGCTCACCGCGCCTTGCTCGCCGCGCCGCCGCGCCGTGCTCGCCGCGCCATGCTTACCACGCCACGCTCGCCGTTACACGCCACAATTGCCACGCCACGCTCGCCGCACTGAATGCCGCGTTCAAAGCCGCGTTCAATGCAATGCCTATAGCCGCCCCTGCGCCCCGTCACGTTGCGCTTTAGCGCATGCGAAGCCTAACAGACGTTGTGTGACTGTTAACACGTGCAGTGCTGCGCGACCACAGTGTGGTCACGCTTTGGTGACTTCGTTTGCCGGCCTCGTTTTGAGATCCGTTGTTGTTCTTGTTCTCCACGGCTTCCGATTCTTGCCATTGTTTTGGCCCTGCCACTTTTCAACGCCATGCTCGGCTAGGGCGTTATGTCGCTTATGGGCCCCGCTTGTATGTCGGCCGAAACGACGCTGCCGCCAGCCGGAATGTGAACAGCTCGTTGTGCCATTATGTATAGTGCTGTGTGAAGCACTTATTTGTGAGATGTGAAATGTGTGAAGTGTGAATTTGAAGTCAACATTGTAATCTCCAGCGAGCGACTCGGCTTTGCCGTTTGCCCAGATTGTTATCTGTTTGTTGTGTTTATATGTACAGTGTATATTTATTTGGTATTGTGGGCCTACGTTCATGTATAGATTTCTTCGCTATAGCGTTTCTTGTGTATTGTAAGCTTTTCACCACTTTGGGTTATAGAGTTATGTTTTCGACAAGCTTTCGTACTCTTTTTGAGTTCTTGTTTATTGAAAGTTTTGCAGTGTATCTGCCTTAGTGTTTTTCTGAGCCACTGTGAAAAATATCATCGTAAATTTACAAAAGTTTTGTAAACTCGTATTATAATTTAAGTTGTAAATTTACAACTGCACATTTTTTACTCGCCAAGGGATTTGAAGTCGATACATACTGCATGTATTTTTACAATTTCGAATTGTAATTTTACAACTTGCGTCAAGGAAAATTTTCCTGTAAACCTACCTACTTTTTTTCACAGTGAGTGTTTACTGGTTTACTCTTGTTCAAAAATAGAGCCCGTCTGTATACTCTGTTTCACCCAAAGAATAAACTCAGGTAGTGCTAACCTGGGTCTGGCCTGCCCAACCCGGGCCCGACCCTCACCAGCTACCCGGCTCTGGTGTCACTTGTGGCCCGCCCCCGCACAGCGGGGAGCGGTGGCGTGGCGTGGCGGAACGAAATGGAGCGCCTGACTGACGCCTATCGAAGCAGCTGTTTGCGTTCAAATATTCGTTGAATAGGGTATTCCAGGCTATCTAAAACGGAAGTAGGAAAGAACAAACTCACTGACTTTTCTGCCGTGATGGCTTTGATTGGTTGAACTGATTACGTGTCACGACGGCGTTTCAGGTATGAAAAACTGTAAGGTCAGTTTCGAGCTCGCCCCCATATTTGAGAGGTTAGAATCGGACGAAACTACCATGGTAATTTCTCATACTGAGCAGACGGAAAGAGATTAATCGGCGAGTTTGTTCTTTTTCACTTCCGTTCTAGATAGACTGGAACACCCCCGACACGAAATTATTAGTGCGCTATGTGTGCGCGCTTAGAGCGTACACACAGCGACTCTAGCGCGCACTCATCCAGAGTACGCCGATGGTGGGCCACAGCGCGCGAGTGTTCGTTTCTTGTTTAGAGCAGCTTTTTTTTAAGAAAAACGAGGGGCAACATCGACCCTTCGCAAAAAATCTGATTTTTTTTTTCTGAGGTTCGTATGATACCCCTAGACAACATATCCAATTTTGAACCCGATCGGACATCCCTACGTGTAACGGCAAGAGGTGCAAGTTTCGCCTAACACTTTTTCCTTGTTTTCGTGTAAAAACGAAAAAACTCATTAAATCTCGCCCATGGCAAGTTCTGGCCACAGGCAAAGTGGTTTCCGAAGTAAAATGAGCTGGGGAATCCGAATCAGCTATCGGTTTTACGACCAGGTGAAGTTTAGGGGTCGATATTAGGTAAAAGACACCGTTTGCAGAGAAATGCCCAAATCTTGGGGTTTCTGTGTTCTTCAACGTACTTTTTTTTCTCTCACCGCCAAACTGTAGGGAAAGGACCAAAGTAACGTGTGTTGGCCATGGGAACCGTCTTACGCAGCCCCCGGGGTCCCCAGGGGAAAAAAACAGCAAAAATGGTCATTTTGGTGACAATTCAGCATACATTTTTACGATTCACATCTACCCTCTCCGCATTTGTTGGCTCTATCCCCCAAAGTTAGTCCCTAATAAGACCCCTTTCCCTGATTTTTCTGGGCGCTGTAGCTCAAAGGGTTCCGGAGATATCAGCATTTGAAGTTTTTGAAGGTTTTATTTTGAGTGTTTTGGCTAAAATGTCGAAAATTTGCATTTTCTGGAGCTAGGACTGTCCGGGACGGCAATCGACCACTGATCTCTACGTAAAACTACCTCAAGAATACGTTTCTGCCCGTGGAATTGCAGTATTTCAACTCCCTATTCAAATTTTGCCTCAAATTAGTGTTTTTTGAGTAACGACTCGTAACGTTTTACAGGCCACCAACGACCGACTTCCCATTCGAATTTTTTTATGTTTCTCAGGCTCAATAGATATTCTTTGACGAGCTCTTTCGAAGGCAGCCAACGAAAATAGTCGTGCCGGCCCTTACTTAGAAGCCCGACAAAAACGGGGAAAAATGTACATTTGGCCAAAATCTGGTGTTTTGTTGGAGTTTTGGTGCTAGTTTATAAGGATGTTCCGCACTAGTTACCAGTTCATGTTTTCTAAGCTAAACGGAAATTCTGAAAAATCAAAAAATTAAAAATATTTCAGTTTTGATGATGATTTTTTTTCAGAACCGTCAAAACTATAAGAAATACCCCAAAAAGCAAATTTTGTTTTGCGGAATCGGAAAGAGCACGTCATTGATGATAGGTCCCGTAACTAGTGCGGAACATCCTTACAAACTAGCACCAAAACTCCAACAAAACACCAGATTTTGGCCAAATT